CCCCGCCCACCCGTCCTCGGCCTTTCCGCCTCCTCACCAGCCCCCACCGCCCAGCCTTTGAGCAGCCAGCCGGGAAAGGACCACTGTCTGCTCTAGGCTACGCCCGGTTTGCGCTGTCGTGTTTGCCCTCCTGCGCTCCTCTGAGCTGTACCCAACCTCTAGACATGCCCAAACTCTTCACTGCGCCTCAGGGTGTCGATTAACGTGGATGATTGGCCGAGGAAAGGCTGTCCCCGAGGGTCCCAACTTCAGGCTTCTTTGTACCGTCAGCACAGGCTTCCCTGTCTCTGGGCCCCATCGGAGGTTAGCCCTTGTTTCCACTTCGCCCTCCCTGTTCCCAGACCACAACTGGGGAATCTGTGTTCCTAGCTCTCTTTTTGATTCTTTCTCCTTGACGGCTTCATTTGGCAGAAACCTTGGAAATGACACTTTGAACAACATTAATCTCCCCATCTTGCTCCTTATCTTCTTGTGACTGGCCTCTCCTAAAATGTCCCCCCAAAGGAAGCCGTGAGAGTTCTGGTGGCCTAATGGGTAGGAAAACCCAAAGGCATGTGGTTCGAATCCACCAGTTACTCTATAGGAGAAAGAAAGACAATCTCCTCCCGCGCAATTTACAGCCTCCGAAATTCTGGAGGCTAAACTATGAGTTCATTCCGACTGGAGGACAATGAGTGAGAGAAAGAGAGCAAGACTCCATTAAGTCCTAGAAGGAGAGGGATGGATAAAACATAAAATGCCTTCTTTCTCTCTCCATAGTCAAGAGACTTATCACAGCCCACGTAACTTAATTTTTTTGGTTTTCACCTTGCCTGTCCACAATAACCTTGCTAATATCCACTCCTTCTGGGGCCTAGGAGTTCCCTTCAGTGTCCTAGATCTCCGCATTCCCATTGCCAAAGCAATCAGCAGATCCCCACCTGCTGGCAACAACCTTACCTAAAATCCACAGGAGGTGGCATGCAAATCAGCCTGCCATGCCCAGATGTCCACAGGTGGTTGACACTTGCCATTTTTTTTCACATACACTTTAATTTTCCAGGCCAAGTAAGGCCATTCCCAGAATTACCTGCCTCCTACAACTTAGCTCTGGTACAAACACAATCACTCTTCCTGTTCTGCAAGCAACATCTGACATCTCTTACAGATACCTAATGATCATTAACAGCAAAATAACTTCCCAGAAGGGATAATGAGGGCAAAGAGCCCAAATGTGCTTCCTTGGTGGCCAGCACACACCTGTTTAAGTATTGATGGACTGTCTACTATCTATCTTCTCTATTAACAGACGAGTCATTGGAGGGCAGAGGCGGGCTCTGTAATCCTATTGTACCATCAGTATATTGCACAGTGCCAGGCACATAATATTCGCTTAATAAGTGTTTGTAGAATACGTAGGAGAGAAGGAAGTAGAGATAAGATCTGTAAGTTATAAAACTGAAATGCCATTTCCAAAAGAACATTTGGGGGTTCCCACAAGTAAGCATGTGCTGTGTAAGCCCTAAAGCAGTTATAAAACTGTCTAAATTTATGGCAATCTCGTGTGTCAGAGTGAGTCGAACTCCATAAAGTTTTCAGTTGATGTTTTCAAAATAGTACACCAGTATGCCCAACGCATCTCTGAATAGGTGCCAACTTTTTAATTTAATGCTACTAAACACAGTAGTTATTTGCACTACCTGGAGACTCCATGAGAATCGTCATTCACTAACTCACTGCCAGCTGAGTCAGTTACAACTCATAGGGACCCTCCATCAGGTTTCCCAGTCCATAAATATTCATGATTCACGGGGGAGACTTCCCATCTTTATTTCAAGGAACCAGTGGTGGACTTGAACTAATGGAGGCACGTGGCATTTTGGTTAACATCACAACACACTATAGATAATATGACCAGAGCCCCTTATGAGAACCTTGGGGTTGGTAATTTTCAGTCCAGACTGGCCGTCCAACATGTGAGGTCTCTGTGGCTAGAACAGTCCCCAGATCAAAACTTCAAAATCACCCCCAAGACTGGAAGGAAAATCTACATAGATTTGCTAATCCTGGCCAGGCTGGGGCTCACACCCTTTCTAGGTGTTCAGATTCTCTGTGTAAATACCTTAATTGTCACACTTAGTAAAACATATAATTTCTTCCTTAAAATAGTCTTATCAGTTATGATTTAGGACTAAACAAATTTAAGTTAAAAGACATTACATAACCCACCCAAGGTCATAGAACTGGCACAACAAGCTAGGAGTTATGCATTCCTGACTGTTGAAAAATTCATGCTTTTTCCACAGTCCTAGAGGAGTAAAGTAACAGAGAATGGCCAGCTTTGAAGATCGGTATCCTCAGTCAACCAGGTAGGCCAACTCGTGAAGGACGAAGAATCACTTTAGGAGTGTGAGGTACCTGCTGACGTCCACTCTGAGAGCGGAGGAGGCCCGGGTGAGGGCCGAGTTCTAGGATCCAACCTCCCCAGAGCCTTCTCCACTGCATCTTGAATACGGAGCGCTCTGACGCTCCAGCTGACGTTAGTTTCTGAATGACAGACGCTTCTGCTGCCTGGTGGCGGAGGAGGGATCCATCCTGCTACCGCCCCAGGCTCTGAGGACTGGAGCAATTCCAAAACCCGCCCCACACCCGCCCCACGCCCGCCCCTTAGCGACCTGCCGGCACCTAGGTGCGTGGGAAGGGGAGGGGCCGGGCTGCGGACTACAACTCCCACAATGCTCCGCGCTCCGGGCAGGAGGCCGCCTGCAGGTGCCCGCGGCTTCGGCCCCTTGGTCCGGAAGTGCCGCGGGTGCGACATGGAGCTGGCCGGGCCGGGCGGTGAGTACCGCGCGGGCTCGCGCCTGCCCGCCGCCCCGGCTCCCAGCTGACTCCAGCCCCTCCCCGACCGGGATCGCTGTGCCCTCTGCGGCTCAGTAGCGGGAAGATGGGAGGTTGATGGAGGAGTCGGGGTTGGGAGGGTGAGGTATGGTACTCCCGGGGTTTGGCTGCGGCGTGGGTTTAGAAGGGCTTCTAGAGAGGGCTCGGAGTCAGCCCACCGCGGAGTAGGGTGGCAGCGGGTCCCTCGGAGGTCCAGTGGGGTGGAGGCTGGTGTTCCGCGGAGGCGTCAGTTGCCAAACAGCATAGTTTGACGTTTGATGGGAGGAAAGCCTTGGGAAGGAGCGTACCGCGAGGGGAGGGTTCGAGTAAATGGCAATGGGAAGCACATAGCGAGGTGTTTTCTCCTTTGGAGAAACTTCAACGAGACAAGAGTAAATAAGCTTTGAGAAACAAGCTGTGTGGTGAAGTTTGGTGAGAGTTGAATTTAGGGGACAAGTTAATTAGAAGGTCAAGGCCCTTTTGGGGTGACTTTTGACTAAATTAAGGATTTTAATTGGTTAATTTTAAGTGAGGACTTTGGATTTGCTAATAGGAAAGGTTGGATCGGAGAGAGGCTAGGGCGAATAGGAGTTCTCACAATCTGTGCCCAAGGGTTGAATTTGGGGTGGGGGCAGAGGAAGTAGGACAACGGGAGAACTGGGGTGGGGTCAGGAGACAACAGCAGTTCAGAGGGTCCCTGGCCAAGAGAGAGCCAGCCCCTCATGGATTGTTTGTGCCTCTTCAGCTTGGTAGCACAGCGGGCAAGGTGGGTGCCATGGCCCTCATTGAAGGGGTGGGTGATGAGGTGACCGTCCTTTTTGCGGTGCTTGCCTGCCTCCTGGTCCTGGCCCTTGCCTGGGTCTCAACACACACCACCGAGAGGGCCGATCCACTGCCCCAGCCGTCAGGAACCCCAACTGCATCCCAGCCCAGCAAAGCCATGGCAGCCACCGACAGCATCAGAGGGGCGGCCCCTGGAGCTGAGGCCCCCAGTCTGAGACACCGAGGTCAGACTGCACAGCCAGAGCCTGGCACAGGGCTCCCTGCGACACCACCACCACCAGACACCCCACAGGAGCCCCTCATTCTTCGGTTGAAATTCCTCAATGATTCAGAGCAGGTTGCCAGAGCTTGGCCCCAGGACACCATTGGCTCACTAAAAAGGTAAGCTAGGCTTAGTGGATGAGAATCAGAACAAAGCATTAAAGAATGGGACTTGAAGGATCACAGACACAAGAGGGTCACCAGAGGCTCTCCCCTCATAGGTGAAGTAACTGAGGTCCTCAAATTACATGCTAATCCAGTCCTTGTCCCCTGATTGTAGCTGCCCCATTGAGACTGGAGGTGTAGTGAAGGCAGAGGGGAGGGATGGGAGCTTGTTCTGGGGCAGGGACTGGGAGTGGCTTAGACCTGCTCTCTTACCCAGGGCCCTCTCTCCTCAGGACCCAGTTTCCTGGCCGGGAACAGCAAGTTCGGCTCATCTACCAAGGGCAGCTTCTAGGAGACGATTCACAAACCCTGGGCAGCCTTCACCTCCCTCCCAACTGTGTTCTCCACTGCCACGTGTCCACACGAGTCGGTCCCTCACATCCTCCCTGCCCACCTGGGTCGGAGCCAGGCCCGTCTGGGCTGGAAATAGGCAGCCTACTGCTGCCCTTGCTGCTCCTGATGCTTCTACTGCTCTGGTACTGCCAGATACAATACCGTCCCTTCTTTCCCCTGACCGCCACACTGGGCCTCGCGGGCTTCACCCTCCTCCTCAGTCTCCTGGCCTTTGCTATGTACCGCCCGTAGTGCCTACACGGGCCCTTGGCAGTGTTGCCAGCCCCTCTGGACCTCGCTCACCAAAACATAGTGGGAACTGCTGCCTGCCCAGGCCCGCCTCTCCGGCTTGCTTTTTCCCGCTGTCCTGGAATCGAGGGCTCCAGGGGTCAGTGGAAGCCATTCCCTGTGACCTCCAATGCACAGAAGCCACTCCTGGAGCTGATGGCCCTCAATCCCCACTGACAGTAGACTCCCCAGGGTCAAACAGCTGCTGTCATTGCCTAGGCCTTGGGCAAAATCAGGCCACCCCTCTGGGTCCGTCTTAGTGCACTGCCTGAGGACTTATCCACCTCTAGTCCCTAATACTCCTTGGGCTGACCTGGGGACTCAAGGACTGGGAGCCTGGTGGAAGAGGGAGGTGAGAAGGGCACATGGTTGTTCCCTGGAAAACGTACAGATTAAAACAAACTGTTAAGTTTTCACTTTGTGTCTGAGTGTGTGGGGCCGATGGCAGTGGCTCAATCTGTCAGGAAGCCTTTGTCCACTGAGGGGAAAGGGAGCGGAAGGCACGGAGCGGCCCTGGCCCAACTCTGCACCTCCGAGGCGGGCACTGACTTTCCCCCGGCCCTGCCCTTCTCACACCTCCTGCTCCTGGCGCACAACTTCCGGGGGCGGGGCTCGAGGCGCGCAGGGCCCGACGGGAGCCACGTCTCTACGGTTTGAGGACCTGGCTGGGATTGGTGTCTGGGTCGGTGGTGCAGGGGCTGCTGGGAAGATGACGGACTCCGTGGACAGCCGATGAGGAGACCGCGGGAGGATCCCGGCTCCCGGGCCCCGAGAGCGACTGAGGGAGCGACCTGCGCGGGCCCTGGGGAGTCATGTAGGGGTGGTGCCTACTCGGGTGGGCCACGGGAGCGGGGCGGAATTCACGTTTACGACGGTGACGGCGGTATCCCGAGGCCCGGGTGGGTATAGGGGCCCAGACATCAGCGACTCCACGCCATTGCGAAGCTGGGCACTTGGGCTCCACAGGCGCCCTGCAAAGGTGGGCGCTGCATTCTCATTTCTCAGGTAAGGAGACTTGGGCAGAGAGACGAAGCCACTTGTCCAAGGTCACACACGGCTGGTAACTGGGAGCGCCGAGTGTGGCGTCCAGGGACGCCCGACTGCAACACCTGCGTCCCCCCGTTAGTGGCGCTGTCCTCCGCGGGAGGACATGGTGGTCGGGGGGCGTGACCACAGCCCACCTGGGTCCGATTCATGACCTCGGACACAACTCCTTTGTCTCTCTGGACCTTGGTCTCTTCATCTGTGAAATCGGGGAGGTGGTGCTATCCCTGCTGAGCGTAGAGGCTTGCGAGGGGATCTGAGTTAATGGCATTGCTTGAGCACACGGTGTTGTCTGTATCATGAGTAAGGGGAGGAGGAAAGGCAGGGAGGACGATGTAATCAACACAGCGATTAGGAGGCCATCTGGCCGCTGTTAACCTCATGCTCCTTTGAATGGTTGTGAGGTACGGAGTAGTAGGTCTTCCTGCCCTTTAGAGAAAGCCTCACCCCCTTTTCTGGGCCACCCCTCAGGGTCTCCATCTCCCAACTCCATGCTTCGAGTCCTGCTTTCTGCCCAGGCCTCCTCTGCTCGGCTGTCTGGCCTGCTGCTCCTCCAACCAGTACAGCCCTGCTGCCTAGGGTCCAGGAAGTGGCAGGACTGGTCCTCTGGAGAAGGTCCCCATGCAGGTCCTGTGCAGGGACTGCAGAAACTTCTGGAACAGGCAAAAAGTCCTGGGGAGCTGCTGCGCTGGCTGGGCCAGAACCCCACTAAGGTGCGCGCCCACCACTATCCTGTGGCGCTTCACCGTCTTGGCCAGCTCTTGGGGTCTCAGCCTCAGCCCCCTCCTGTGGAGCAAGTCACACTGCAGGACTTGAGTCAGCTCATCATCCGAAACTGCAGCTCCTTCGACATTCACACTATCCATGCGTGTCTGCATCTTGCAGGCTTACTTGGTGAGAAACTTGAGGAAGGGTAGGGGGACGTGGCAGGGTGTGTGGGACAGTGGCTAGAAAAGTAGAGAACAGTGTAGTAGTACCCAAGTTTAAGACACGGAATTAACCTTTTAGATTTTTGCCAAACTTGGGAAATACACACTGCCTACTGCTTCCCCTCCTGTCTCCATGGCCATCAGGCGTGAAAGAGTCTTTCCAGCAAGGAAGCAGCAGCAGCCACATTCCCTCCATAGTCTCTCTAGAAGCCACTGAAAGGTGTCATAATTGACGTAAGATCAGGACTTCCCTATAGACAGTTCTATGTTTCTGTGGTATTTTACATATTTTCCAGTGTTTTCATTTAAACTACATCAGAACTTCCAGATCAAGAAGTGAATGTGAGATAACCCTGTGATTAGAAAAGAGCAAAGCTGACCCATTCCCACAACTGCCTCCTCTGACCCTCTCCCTCAGGCTTTCCATCTGATGGGCCACTGGTGTGTGCCCTGGAGAAGGAGCGAAGGTTCCGCCTCCCCCTGAAGCCCCTTCCCCCTCTGCAGCCTGTTCTTCACAGTGGGCAGAGGTTGGAAGCTGTTCTGAGCTGCCCCCGTTTCGTGCGAGAGCCACGACAGCATCTGATACGCAGCCTGGCAGGTGCTGAACATGGTGGGGTTGTCAAAGACAAGTGGTTAGGAAGGGTGGAGGGCATTGTCGGTGCTGAACTGGAATGCAGTCAACGAAGTCTGATCCAAGGGTCTAGCATGATAGGCTCTTCTTCACAGAGGCAAGGCCAGAGGAACTAACTCCTCACGTAATGGTGCTCCTGGCCCAGCACCTGGCCCGCCACCGGTTGCGGGAGCCTCAGCTTCTGGAAGCCATTGCCCACTTCCTAGTTGTCCAGGAAGCCCAGCTTAACAGCAAGGTGGGTTGCCTCCCATCCTTCCCTCATTTTGATCACCATCAGGCCAGCCCCACCCTTCCCTGCCCATCCCCATCCTCCTTTGAGCCCTGTTTGCCTACAGCCACATACCCCTGCTAGACTGCTCTACTTCATGCTCTGGGGCTTCCATCTTTGCTCATGCCCTCTCCTGGCTTAACTCCCTGGCAGTATCATCATACTTAGTGCTTTCCAGTGTTTAAAAGCACTTTTACCACCACCTTGACTCCACTGATCCTCCGCCTCCCTTCAAATTCTCAGGGTCAGACTCATAGTGATGTCTGCTGATAAGTATCATTCAAGACAATGCTTATACTTTTTACTCCACACTCAGCCTGGGTGTTGGGCCAGAGGGATGGGTTTTACTTTCATAGCCACAGTATAAGCTTGAAGGCAAAGGATCTCTAAATTTTAGGTTATAAAAATACTAGGTAACTTCTGCAGTTTTGTAGTGAACTGCTCTTCTTTAACAGGTTGTACAGAAGCTGGTTCTGCCCTTTGGGCGTCTGAACTACTTGCCTCTGGATCAGCAATTTATGCCCTGTCTGGAGAGGATCTTGGCTCGTGAAGCAGGTGTAGCACCCCTGGCTACTGTCAATATCTTGATGTCACTGTGCCAGCTGCAATGCCTGCCCTTCCGAGCCCTGCACTTTGTCTTCTCACCAAGTTTCATCAACCACATCAGTGGTATGCAGACAAGGTGGCTGGCTGGCCCATGAGCTGTAACCAGGCGAGTTGGGGAAGGGTCAGCAGCTCCATGTGCTCAGCCCACTCTCCCATAGGTACACCTCACGCTCTGATTGTGCGTCGCTACCTCTCTCTAATCGACACAGCTGTGGAGCTGGAGCTCCCAGGATACCGGGGTCCCCGCCTTCCCCAGAAGCAGCAAGTGCCCATCTTCCCCCAGCCACTCACCACTGATCGTGCCCGCTGCAAGTACAGGTGGATGGGATAGCTGGGGTCGGGAGGGAACCAGCCCCAAAACCAAGTAAACCAATCTGAGGGACTGCCCTAGCAACCTTACCAAAGGAAGTCACGCACACAATCCAGATGGGCACAAGACAGTTAAGGGACCTGCCCAGGTTACAAAGCTGGACCAAGAGCCACAGCTCAGGGGACACCCTATGCTCGCCCGTGATCACTGTCCCTTTCACCTCAGTCACAAGGATATAGTAGCTGAGGGGCTGCGACAACTTTTGGGAGAGGAAAAGTACTGGCAGGACCTGACTGTGCCTCCAGGCTACTGCACAGGTAAGCACAGGTGCTGGGGCAGCAGAGCTGGTAGGCAACCTGAAACCCCACTAAGGGCTAGCGGCCCCTTGCCCTTTGCAGACTTCCTGCTGTGTGTAAGCAGTAATGGTGCTGTGCTTCCTGTGAGGACCCAGGACCCTTTCCTACCATACCCACCAAGATCCTGTCCTCAAGGCTGGGCTGCCTTGAACACCATCACCCGAGACCCTATTCAGAGGTAAGGGAAGCAGAGCTGGGGGGTTCCTGCCCTTGTGCTTTCACCACAACTGACATCAGCCTACGCCCCCTCCAGGGTGGTGCTCATGCTGCAGGAACGCTGGCATTTCTGCCGGGACGGGAGGGTCCTGCTCGGCTCTCGGGCCCTGAGAGAGCGGCACCTTGGCCTGATGGGTTACCAGCTCCTGCCGGTGAGACACTCCTGTCCTGGCTCAGCCCGGCCCGGCCCCTCCTGAGCCTTCAGGCCTCGCTGGTAATACTGCCTCTCTCCACAGCTGCCTTTTAAGGAATTGGAGTCACAGAGAGGCCTGCCCCAGTTGAAGAGCTACCTGAGGCAGAAGCTCCAGACTTTGGGCCTCCGCTGGGGACCTGAAGGGGGGTGAGGAAAGCACAGTGGGTCAGGGTGGTCTCCCCACTGGGAGACAGATGATTTGCACTTTGGTTCCCCTCTGTTTTGGTTCTCATTAAAGTCTCTCCTCCATCTCCCATCACTCATGACTTCTGAGACTGCCAGGGGTCTGGGGTCTCTACCTTTCTCATTGGTGCTCCCCGACACTCATACAGAGACAAAAGGCTGGGGGATAGTAAAGCACTTTACTGCAAGGTTGAGGACTTTAAATTATTCACTTAAATAAAAATGAAGGCAGAGGGAGTTCCAAGACTTAGCCCCCAGCCCCTGGTCCCTCTGTCCATCAGTCCCACAGGCTGATCTCCCCAGCCGGCAGCTACACAGGCATGGGCATCTCATTGTACTCATCCACACCCTCCCGCTCGTCAAACACCGGCTCTGCCTCGTTTGCATCCAGCTGTAGGGAGAAAAGTGGGTTTCAGGACTCTGACGCTGGCTGGGCCATTTTTGATAACCATGGGAAGGAGAAGACCAGAGGCTGGGAGGCAGAGAGGGATGGAAACTATCCTTACACATTTCATCTCTCGGTCGGTGAAGATCCGGGTGAGCACCACCATGCGCAGTGGCACTGTGAGGATGAGGATGAAGGGGAAGGCCAGAGAGGCAGCTGTGGACATGACCGCCCAGAGCAGGGCCAGGCAGAGCAGCTGCAGGGCTGTGAACAGGTGCATACGGAGGGTCCGGACCTGGCGGCAGGAGAGAGGGATGGATACTGTTCAGGCTTCCCCAGGAGCCCCTGCCATAGTCCCTCAGCCCAGACACAGCACAGGCAGCAAAATGATGGCTGGCTGTTGTGGGAAGAAGGGACCAGAGGATGATCTTAGACCAGATGGGCACAGGCATTGGGGTCCTCTTGGAAGAGGTCTTACCTTCTTGACATAGGTGACATCCGGATGGTGTTTGGGTGGCATGAGCAATAAATGCAGCCGCTCGTAGAACTGGATCCCATTAAGGGAGGTAACGCCCATGTACAGAAAAATCCCAAAGAGCACAGCCAGTGGTATTTGCCTAAGCAGATCTCCAATAACTATGGATAGGCCTGCAGAGTAGAGAAACAGCTAGCTTTGGGTTCCCGGCCAGCCAGGGCCTCATACTAGGAAGAGGGGGAAATGCAAACATACCCACAAGCAGGGCTACCAGCAGCCCTGTCACCCGCTGTTCCTTGACCTCCTGAATTTTGGGCTTGTCCCCAGGTGCCACAGCTTTGCTCATGACGGTGAGGGCATTGGCATGTGTGACGGAGCGGACAGTGGCAGCAGCCAACCAGGGCAGTCCGAAGAGGGCACAGATGCCACCCATGGCCACAATGAGCAGTAGGTCTAGGTGGAAGCCGGAGCCCTTTTGTAGCATGCGCTCCTTCTTAGAGATGATGAGCCTGGGGGTAAGAGGACTGCACCATGGCCGGCCTGGGTGGCTGCCTTGGCCAACTACCTCATCTTCCCAAAGCTTCTATCAGTCACCTCTTACCTGTATGGGGACCTGCAGATCCCTGCCCTGGCCAGTTTAGTCACCCACTCAGCCCCACCAGACACTACCAGAGTGGCCTCCCAGCCTTCCTCTTCCCGTTCTGGTACTTACTCTCATGCTGACTGACACTATACACTGCCTAAAGAATCGACTCCAGCAACCAGTCTACTATACTCCAGGCCCTCCAAAGCCACGCACACCCCAACAGGGCTCTATCCCCTCAGCATACCCAGCCCATGTAACCCACCCTTGCCCCTCCAGCAGGACCACTCACGTGGTGATCTGAGTCTCCATGAAGATGAGAATGAAGACCAGGATGGCAGGCAGCAGGCTCGCGACCATCATCCACACAGGGAAGGGGCTGGTTACTCCCAGAGGGTTGATGACCCAGCCCCGTTTTTCTGGGGCTGTCACTGAGAACCCACTGGGTACGCTTAATTTCTGCAGGGTAGAGGGCAGGATGGGGGCAAGGTGAATGCCAGGGGCACTCTGTAGAAAGGTCCACGAGAGGCTCCGGCTTCAGGGCAGTGGAAATCAGCACCAGGCAGTACTTCCTTTCAGCTATGCAGCTCTGCCTTACCTGTGTGTAGGTGTCTTCAATACTGTAATCCACAAGCACCATGATGAGAATTGCAATGGGCACCCCGAAGTCCCCGATCACCCTCCGGATCTGAGGGCAAGAACTGAGCTCAGAGGCCTCCTGTCCCACTGCAGCCCGCCCCTTTTCTGACCCCTTTGACCCTTACTCCCACCCCTTCCAGCCTTCAAACCCACACACCCGGCCGGGGAAGAACCGGCTATTCTTGAATTTTCGCAGGAAGAAGGCGATGAAGAAAGTGCCAGCCATGAGCACCAGCGACAGCAGGGCTGTGTTGGGCTGACCCTGAGGCCTCGCCTGCCCAGGGTGCCTGGCGGTCCCGTTCCCTGGCCCCAGCACTGCTCCTGCCCTAGCCCATGTCTTATTCTCGCCGCCATCGGCCTCTGAGCTGTTGGAGACTGAGCAGCCATGCAGTGGATGCTCCTGGAAGATCTGGGGAGAGAAGAGCCGTAAGAGACTTTTCTCAGAACACAGGCACGTCCTGGCCCAGCTGTGCATGGTGGGCAGGGACCCTAGCCAGACCCTGAACACAGCAGGATGTCACAGGACACAGGACCTGGAGGTGGAACGCCTCAGGAGCCTCCTAGACAGATGTAAGCCTGAGGCATCTGTGACTGTGGGTACCATCCCAGCATGTTCCCTCTGGGCACCTCTGTGCTATTTGGCATTTAACACAAGCACGTTACCCATGTTATTAAACTGGTAGCTTCTAAAGGACTGATCTGAAGCCCCAGTTTGTGTGCTGGAGACAGGGAGATGGTAGGGGGTAGGAAGAACACGAGGCCTGGAGCCCAGGGGAAGTTCTTCATCAGTCCAGTTGCAGACCCAGGTCAGGACCCCACCTGGTCCCCTCCAGTCCTGAACCCTTGCCCAGTTCTCAGCAGGGACCTGCCCACCTTCACCAGTTTGTAGAAGGTCTCGTAGATGAAAATGAGAGAGATGAGGAAGGCGAAGATCTCCTGAGTGAAGCGAGAGACAAAGCGCACCAGGAAGCTGCCCTCCAGGGCCACCATGAGCAGAGCCAGAAGCACCAGCCAGAAGCCAATCCACACTCGGCCCACCAGGTACTCCAGGTTGTTGCTGCTACAGAACTGGGGCACAGAAAAGTCCAGTCAGACCCAAAGTATGGGACAAGTGGGAAGCAGATGAGCTACCTGTGGCTGGGGGTGGTCCAGCCAGGGCCAGAGTACCAGGTCAGGAAAACTGGGAAGGAGGGTCTGGTTAGGCCAAGAGCTATATGTAGGGTAACATGGAGAATACCCAGGGTTAGGGTCTAGGAAAAAGAGCAGCTCCACAGCAGCTTCTGGAGACCCTGGTGAATGCTTACTGAAAAGAAGGCTTCCTCAAAGACCAACAGCGGGCCCGAGAAGCCGATCACCAGCAGCGGCTGAGCCCCTAGCAGGCAGAAGATCACCCCCTGGAGCGCTGTGGACATGATCAGCTCTGACACCCCGATCAAGTCTTGTGTCTTCTCTCCTGGGACAGAAGGAGCCCAGGGTCTGTCAGTGTGCACCGCGGGCAGCCCACCCTCCCGTCTACCTCAAGGGTCTCCCTAACCAAGTAGTCCACCAAAGGTGATGGCAGGAGACAGGGCGGCAAAGTAGATGAAGATGACCGCAGCCAGACACTGGGGGTTGAGTGCGTCCCGGAAGTCACTCAGGTAGTGTGGGTAGCGACGACGCACATCGCGAATCAAGCCCCCAAAGGGCCGGCCCGTCCGACGAAGGGGATCGTCTTCAGCTGTGCCTGCTGCTTCTACCATCTGCAGGAGCGCTGCAACCCAGGCCTCCATCAGGGCCCTGGTAGTGCCCGCTGGAGGGATGGCCATCCTCTGCTGCCCTCCCGCCAGCTCAGCGGACCCAGTGTCCTGTCCCTGCCCACTGGAGGCATGACCATCCTACACCGCCCACCCGGCAGCCCGGCTGACCCTAGGGGCTGTAGTGTCCCGTACCCTTGTCTTGGGCAGACTTGGGCTCCAGCCCAGCCCCAGGGGGCAATAGGCGGCCCTGCTCCTCCCTCTTCTTGAGCATCTGGCGCTGGAAGTGGGCCACAGAGCGTAGCAGCTCCTCGCCCTGCACCTCAGAAGGTGGCAGCACCACGCTGCAGTCCAAAAAGGCATTGATGGCAGTCAGCAGGTCCTCCCGCTCATCCGCCAGGTAGGCTGCCTCGTGGAATTGCTGCCAGGGTGAAGCCAGGGTCAGTGGGGCACAGGCTGGTAAGTCACAAGCCCTGAGGCCAGGCGGGGGCAGGAGAGGACCAGGTGGTATCCCGGGAAGAGGGCAAGCTGACCTTGTCTGACATGAGGGTGGAGATGGAGCGTCCGATCTCATGGTAGTCCATGTTGGCACTGCTGGGGCCCAGCAGCAGGAAGAGGAAGCGCACAGGCACTGGCACCTCAAGCACTGCGTCCAGTTCCACCGCCTCTCGAAGGCGCACGAAGGCCATGGTGGGCCGGGACAGGAACTCCACGCACCCTGGAGAGGTGGGCATCGTGGGCAAGAGCAGGGCAGCAGGTCTGAGGCAGGTGGGGACTGCCTGAAGGCTCAACAGCTGACTGCCCCTCTGTTCCTAAGAATCACCCCACATACCTACAAGGACCACAGTCGCTTCTGCATTCTCTGGGATCTTCTCCAGTAGCTTCAGCTCATGCTTCGACTTGGAGCGGGTGATGCCGGTAGGTGGGGCAGGAGGAGGCAGCTCTCGCTGGAGGAGGAGGAAAGTGGCACTCAGCTCAACCAGTCCCCTGACACTTCCACACCAGGCCCCCGGCCCCCCCACTCCTGGCCAGCTCACCTGGGTCCATAGCCAGGCCAAGCATAGCCACATCTCCTTACCTCTCGTTCCACCTCCAGGCGGGCCTCAGGAACACCTCCTATGAGAGGCTCGGTGACGTGGGGGTCACTCTCCACCCCATGGCCATGATGATGGCCCAGCAGGGAGCCCAGTGAACCAGCTGAGATGTTTCGGGGGAAGGAGAAATCCTTCTCATCACTTGGGTGACTGATGGGGCAGAAGGTAGAGGTTAATGAGGGCCAGGAGCTAGGGGCGGGGTTCGGGGGAGGCGGGGAAAGGAAAATCCCTGGACAGGGCCTTACCTGTGTTTCAGCAGCAGGGCCCGAAGTACATTGGCCCGATCCTCCGCCTTGATCTGGTCGGAAATAACCATCTGTTCCACTACCTGGTGGGCAATCCCAGGCAGTGTCTGCTGGTCCAAGTCCAAGAGCACAGCCCCTAAAATAAGGACAAAATGGAGAAACTGTGTGGTTCCCAGGTCCAGAATCCAGGGCAGGACTGGGACCTAGCAGATAAGCAGATCTCATGGGCTCTGGACCTGCAATGCTGCCAAAAAGCCCAAGTTGTATTTCCTCTCTGGACTCAGTTTCTCCCCAGGTCCAACCAGCCCGCTGGAATATTGTAAGCTAAGTTATCAGAGAGGTTGTAAGACCAACTTCCTCCACAGATCCCTTCAACCTGGACTCCCTAAGCAGTCCAGCCAGGCTGGGCTGCCTGCTGAAGTTCTTCTCAATCTTAGTCTCTCTCAGAAGTCCACTTGAGGGTCAAGTTCTGCCCTCTGTCACAAGATACAGCGGTTCCTAGCCTTGTACACATGGGGGCTGTGCAGCCATATGCTCACTCCAGGATTCTCAACTACCCCTTCAGTTCCCCAAGTCTTAACAGCTATATCCTGGAAAGTTTCTAACCCTTTTGCTATACTGGTCACTGAACTGCTATTTTATAGAGAAATACAATTCTTTAAAAAAATTGCATCAAAAACTTTTTCCAACAGAGTGAAAATAAAACCTACTGACTGGGGAAAAAAATTTGGCAATACCATCTCAGACAAGGGTCTCATATCAAAAGTTTACAGAATCCTACAGGGCCTCCACAAGAAAAAGACTAATAATACAATTACAAATGGGCAAAAGACATTGAAAGACTTTTCAAAGAGGAAGATACTCGAATGGCCAACAGACATGAAAAAATGCTCACTGGCAACAAGAGAAATGCAAATCAAACCCACAATGAGATACCATCTCACTCCTGTAGCAGTGACAAAGTTTAACAGGACAGTAAGTAACATATATTGGAGTGGATGTGGCGAGATAGGAACATCCCCCCCACTTGCTGTTTACTGTTGAGTCAGATCCAACTGGCACAGAAGGTGATTGCCCCTCCTTGTCCTGCACAGCATCTGGTAGATTCAAACCACCCGTCTTTGGGATTAAAGCACAGCTTCTTTCCACTAGGCCACCAGAGCTACCTGAGATAGTAACTCTGTTTTTGGGGTTTTTTTTAAATTTTATTATTGTTTGTGTGTGTACCGTCAAATTAGATCTGACTGGTACAGGAGGAAATTGTCCCTCCTTCTCCAGCAGAGCATCTGGTGGATTTGAATGGCATACAAGATAGGAACTCTTATACACTGTTGGTGGGATTGTAAAATGGTACAACCACTCTGGAAGGCAGTTTAGCGCTTCTTCAGAAAGCTGAACACAGAAATTACGTATAACCCAGGTATTCCACTGCTTGGACTATATCCTGAGAAAATGAGAACTGAGGCACAAACGGAGACTTGTACACTAATGTTCATAGCAGTGTTATTCACCATTGCAAGAATATGGAAACAGCCGAGATGTCCAACGACAATGGAATGGATTGAGAAATTATAGTACATTCACACCTGGAATACTACGCAGCACGCAGGAGCAATGATTTTGTAAATTACTATCTAACTTGGGAGGGACTGGAGAGCATTATGCTGAGTGAACTAACTCAGTCCCATAAGGATAAATAAAAACACTATTGCAGAACACATATGAGGACCCAAAGGGGGGGAGGGGGAGAAAAGAGGGGTGAGGATAGGTTGGGGTGGGGGTGAGGTGTTCAACTCATAGGGTTGAACAATTTGGTGGGTGAAGGAAATGGGAAAGATGCAGTATGAAAAACAATGTATACAAACTTTCTAAGTAAACCAGTATAAAATAAAAATTTATTAAAAAGAAAAAGTTGGCTAGTAAACATGAGGCTTTTATTCATGTGGAATTATAAATCAAACTCACTGGCACTGAGTCGGAACTGACTCATAGCTGATCCGCCAGTGGATTTTTCCGAGGCAATAAATCACACCGGAGATTGCCCATCATTCTCCTGAGGAGCAGCTGGTGGATTCAAGTCACATGCCTTTTAGGTTGACAATGCAACTCTTTCTCCGTTAGGCCATCGGAGCTCCCTAATGGAATAAAGATGTTTGTACCATTGAGTCGGAACTGAAACATAGCTGGCCCTCCAGCGGGGTTTCAGAGGCAGTTAATCATACAGAGGAGATTGCACATGTAAAGGATGCCAAACAGCCAAAACAATCCTGAATAAGAACAAAGCAGAACTCCTACTGGCCAATTTAAAAATATACTCCCAAGCTTTAATAACCAAAACTGTCTGGTACGCAAATAAAGAATTAAGGGTCAGAAATAAACCCATGCACGCATGATCAATTGATTTTCAACAAGAGTACTAAATTCACTCAGTGGAGAAACATTAGTCCTCATTTAATAAATGATGCTGAAGAATTAAATGCAATCCACATCATACACCGTATATAAAAATTAGCTTAAAATAGATGCAGGGCCTAAATGTAAAAACAGAAAATGATTAATGTTTTGAACCTAATTTTGAATAGAACTACCTTGCAGAAAGCAGGGTTTCAAACTGGCTGATTCTGGGACAACTCCCTGCTAAGAACCTGCATTTACAGTTACACTGAATCACAGAATAAACATTTTTACAAGTTCCAGATGATTTTTATGAGATCTCAGTAAAATATAAATTCTGATTCAATATATCTGAGAGGTAGAAGTACACATTCTCAGTGAAAGGTCAAACCAGAACGAACTGGTCCAGAGCTCTGCTAGAAAGCCATCTGGCCTCTGTTCTCAGATCTATCTGGTTGTTCCTGAGGCTAACAAATAGGGGGCTGGGGAAATGCTGACCAAGAAGGTCCATCCACAGGTGGATGCTGGCTAAGCTTCAAGATCCATGATAACCCTACCACAGCCACAAGGAAGCCCCTGAAGCTCCCCAACAGATCAAAGTCTTGGTTGGTGATAATGCACAGGAGGAGTGATGCAGAAGTCTGTACTGTGCCCTCTCAGTCCTCATCCAAGCTCTCTCCATTTGTAGCCTTTTACATTATATTAAAGCTGTTATTTCAGGTATGAAATCTCCAAGTTCTGTGAGTCATTCCAGCGAATCATCAGATCCAGAGACATAGGGGAAGCTGGCTGGTCTCAAGTAGGGAGAGTTCCAGGTTTGTTTGTAGCTGGTACTCTGAGGAGATAGAGGAAACTCTCAGATTTGGGGCTGGGTGGTGTCAAGTGGAGCAAGCCATGTGGATGACCAGGCTTGTAGCCCTGGCTGGCTACGATTAGAAAGAGAAGGGCTATAGGGACAGCGGGGATCTGAACTGAACAGGAAAGAGAAGCTGAGATTTCCACAAGACACAGGTGGGGTGTGAAGTGTGACTTGTTATCTACTACACAATCTTGCAGGAGCTCTGGTGGCCACACGGGTAAGGAGTTATGCTTCCAACTCAAAGGCAGGAAGTTTGGATCTCCCACTTGCTCTGAGGGAGGAAGATGGGCAATCTCCTCCTGTGCGATTTATGGCCTCTAATTCCGCTGAAGGGTCAACTATGAGTTGGTTCTGACTCGACAGCAAAGAGTTGAGTTGACACAATCTAGCATCAGATGTGAGTGACCTCACTCTCCCTATAAGAGCTTGTGCAGCACCAAAAGCATATGCAACGAAAGGCCAAGCAGAGCAAACAGACTGCTTCAAAATGAAGACTGGATGTGCATCAAAGGACTTAACTGACAAAGTGAAGAGACAACGTATAGAACCAGAAAAACTTCTTGGTAACCATATACCTGATAAGGCTTCACTATTTAGAATTTATAAGCAGTGTGAACAACATCAAAAAGACAAACTCATTAAGAAATAGACAAGGGACTCAAGTAAACATTTCTCCGAGAAGATACACAAATGGTCAACAAGCACATGAAAAGGTGCTCACCAAAACTAGCTAGTGCTATTGTTCAAACCACTCAACTCATTGTCATCCAGTTGACACTGACTCACAGCTGACCTCCGTGGGTTTCCAAGTTTGTGTAGCAGAGGAAATGCTTGTCTTTCTTCCAAGGAGCTGTTGATGGACTCAGTTTCCAGAGAACTACAGCCTGTGGGCTAACAGTGCCACTCTCCATGGACTACACCACCAGCTCGCCCTCACTATTGTTGTTAATTTCCGTCAAGTCATTTCTAATTTATGGTGACCTCCTTTCTAATGAATGGCGACCCTACAACTGCTTTCAGAAGCAGCCAAGCTCCTGTGGAGGGGTTCAAACCACCCACTTTGTGGCTACCAGGTCACCATTTAACCATTTGGGAAATGCAAATATAAATCACAGTGAGATATTTCACTTTTATCTAGGACAGTTACTAATGGGGGGGGGGGATAACCTCAAATGTTGCCAAAGATGTAGAGAAACTGGAACTCTTCTGTACTGCTGCTGATAGGAGTATAAAATGGCAAAGCCATTGTGGGGAAACAGGATGGCTGCTTTCCAAAGAGTTACACACAGAATAAAGCTGCTGTTGTCATGTCAAGTCAATTACAATCCTATGAACAAGAGATCTGAACCCTGCCCTATCTATCATCCCTCAACATCTCTAACATACTTAAGCCCATTGTTATGTCAATCCATATGTCACTATGTCAATCGTCTGTTGAGAATCTTAAACTGACCCTCCACCTTTCCAAGCATGATGTCATTTTCCAAGGCCTGATCCCTCCTAACATATGCCCAAAGTATATGAGATGAAGCTCTACCATCCTTCCCTCTAAGGAACATGCTGGCTACATTCCCTATGACTCAGCAATTCTCGTATTAAATATGTTGTTGTTGTTGTTTGGTGTCGTCGAGTCGTAGACGACTCATAGCGACCCTCTGAACGAACAGCCTGAGCACTGTTCGTACATAGAGTTTCCGGAGGCAAGCCATTTTGGAAGTGGATGCTGCTCCTGCTTCCAGGCTTGATTTAGTCGGGAAGCTCCAGCCAACACTGTCCACCATGGGTGCCCATTACCACGACTGGCACATCACTGTTACAGTCTTAAATATATAAAAAAAAAAAATAAGTCTAGACATATCAGTTTCATTTGAACACTTTGATCACAGTCAAAAGGTGGACAAAACCTAAGTATCCATCAACAAAAGAATAGATAAACAAAATGTGCCATATAGTTATACAATGGAATATTACTCAGCCATGAAGAAAACGGCTTTGATGCATGCTACTGGATAGATGAGTCTTGATATCATCATGCTGAGTGAAATAAGCCAGTCAAAAATGGAAAAATATTGTGTGATGTCACTTCTATGAAATGGTACTATGGCGGCAGTGCTAACCCAAAGGGAGTGTCTCTCTGGTGACCCACCAGCAGAAAAAAGATGGGCAATCTCCTCCCGTGTAATTTACAGCCTAGGAAAACCCACAGTAGATCAGCAATGAGCTGGTTCTAAATCGAGAGTAATGAGTTAGTGAGTGAGTGATGAAAAATAGTTATCAGAGTATTTACTGGTCAGCTCAGCTTTCAGGAACACAAAACCAAAAAACGCCAAAAATGGACAGCCCAGAAGACAAAGCAGATCACACAGCACCTAGTGAGAAAACCCTTACCCTCTGGCAGCTGACCTCTCAAGAAGCCCTCAAGCCCCGCTACTCTTGGTGCTTAATCCGTTATCACAGGTTTCCAGCACTCGTCTGCTTAGAAACAGAGAAACAGATCTGACCGCTCCAGGGAGAGTGAGTAAGTGAAAACCCAATGGGAAGGAGAAAACAAGCAAACGGCAGAAACATCAGACACAACAGGTCAGGAGCTCTGCAGTCTCCGGCCATTTAGTAAATTTTAAACAGTCCCACAGTTAGATCACATTTCTCCAGAGGCTCTCTAAAATGGCCACAAGGTCTGCCCAGCACCTCAGAATGCTCTCTTTGAAAACAGCTTAAAAATGTCAGTACTCAAGGCACATCAGCCTGAGGTGTCTGAAAGGATCCCTGAGAAGCTGCTGCTTGCTCAAAGTGCTAGATAAAAGATGCTCATACAAATTCTGCTTGAAAAACACCCAATAAGAGACCCCAACCAGCAGGCCAGGTGCCTTACGGAGATGAGATGGTCCCTCCAGGGCACTGGTGACATGATGCACTTCTGTGACACAATACAAACTGGGAGACGTTTGTCCATTTGGTCCCCAGAGAATGGGGCCTAGGAAAAGAACACCTGGAGATGAAGACTGGTGAGAGGGCAGGAGGTCAGTGAGTACGGAAGTTACCATGGGCCAGGGTCCTGCGGAGTTCCAGGAGACTTCGGAAGGACAGGGAGGCCACATGGGGTTTCCCCCAGCGCTCTGTCTCCTCCTCCACATCCTCCTCAAATTTGATCCAGCGAGCTGTCTCCCGCCATTGAGGCTCTTGGTTCTTGTCCAACAACAATTCATTCAGCTCCACAAATACCTTAGGGTGAGATGAAAGGGCATCTCAGGAAGTAGGGCCAGAGGGGGTTCCCAAGGACTAGTCCCCAAAAGAGTAGTAGGCACAGGGTACAGCCCTGCATAGCACAGTGGATAGTGTACAGGCTCAGGCGTTTAACAGGAGAGTGGACCATGGGCAAGTTCTAACCAATCTGAGCCTTACATCCTCTCAAAACAATGTGAGTAATATCCACCTCAGAGAACTGTTCTGAGGAATCAAAAAGTACATAAAAACATTCAGCATGATAAACAGCCTACAGTACGTCACAAGTGGTCCCTGTATCTATGTAATTATATTGTTGTGTGTCATCAAAGCAAGTCCAACTTCCAGCACTCCCGTGGGACAGGGCAGCACCATCCCATTATGGTTTTCTAGCCTGTAATCCTTTATGGGAGCAGATTGGCAGGTCTTTTCTGCCACAGAGTGGCTGTGGGGTTTGAACCACAGAGCTTTTGTTTAGCAGCTCAGTACTTAACTATTGCACCACAAGGACACTGCCCAGGGTCAGCCAGCCAACTCTGACTCAGGGTGGCCCTCCACTCAGCTGCCAAGGCTGTACATTTTCATGAGAGGAGTCAAACTGCTGCCTATTCAGTTAGCGATCCTAGGGACACTGACTGGGAAAAGACATGAAGGAACTTTCAGAGTGCTGAGAAGGTAGTAATTCTTCCTATGTTTGCAGGTACCTGCTTAGCACAGATGTACTTCATTCAGCGAATTACCGTTCAATAAGAAAGTATGATGGAGGAGGCCTGGCCAAGGTGCTGCACCTGGTTTACAAGATGCCACCTGGGCTGCCATCCTCTCAAGAAGCTGTTAAGAAGATCAAGTAAGAGTACGGAGATGACAGGACCTTGAAAAGTGAGGTGCAGGGCTATCACAGAACAACTGTAAGTCCACATGGGCCTTTGTTCAAATTACAAAAAAATGCCTCCTCTTCCTCAAACACCTCACTGTTTCTGCCACAAGATGGCCATGGCCTCCAAATCAACAATGTCACAGCTGGGGATGGCGCCCTCATAGATGGGGTGCTGCTGTGCTGAGTACAGTCATTCGTGTCAACCCTGTGTGTGGATCAGTGCTTGTCTGACAGGGAGGCAGAGGGGGCTCAGGGACAAAGAGATGGATAAGGAGATAATGGAAGCATCCTGAAGAGAGAACAGTACCTCATGAGGCTTATGGGGGGTTCGAGGCCGGGACCGAGGTGTGGGGCCAGGCTCCCGCCCTTCCCGGCTGCCTGGCACAGACGCTTTGGCGTTCTTCCGCACCAAGTGCCGCCTCACACCAGGAACATCCTCGAACCGATGACCTGCAGGGGATAAGAGAGGTTCAGACTGGACTTCCCCTTTTTCATACTCTTCACTTCCTCAGCATTGCATTTGGCTCAGGGCCTGGTACTCACTTTTCATGAGGTCCAAGTCGGCTGTGGCCAGCGTCTGGGCCTCACTCTCATCTGTGGGGACCCGGGGCAGCAGGGCCTGCTCAGCCCCGGTCATGCTCCCAATGCGCCTCCTCTCCTGAAGGTTGTAGCTGCGATGTCCAGGCTGAGCTTTAGTCAGAGGGCGCCCTGAGGCACCCCCGTCGTCACCCCCAGCTGTTCCGCTGGTCACTGCTGCCACCTCTTCCACCAGGGCTCTGGATGGACAGAGTAGCCATCAGCCAGAGAAAGTCAACCTCCTCCCAGCAACCAGGCATTCACTCAGGGCAACCAGGGATGGGGCCCCTCCTGGTTTCCCACTCTTAGGCACTGTGCATGCAAAGTAGACTGCCAGGATGTAAAAGCCTGGCTCTTTACTGCTGTGCAGCCATAGCAAGGCATCTCTGAACATAAATTCCTTACTAGAAAAAAAAGGACCAAAGCTTAATCTTGTGTGGTGCTGGGAGAGGTGGGATTCTGGAAAAGCACCCAGTGCAAAGCTCAACCTTCACAGGTACTCCTGTGAATTACGTCCCCTTGGCCACTCTCCCCTGCTCCTTCCTGCCAGGACACACCCTTAACCAGGAGGACCAGGTGAGCCTTGGACCCACAGCTCTAATCTAATTGAATAAAGGGTCTTGAATATGGCATCTGTAATTGACGACAGCTAAGAAGGTACTTCAAATGTTATTAACTCCTTGTACTTTACAAATGCCACCTTCTATTCCTTACTTTTAAACTAGACTGTCCTCTCTTTCTCATTGCCATTCCAAGGGCATACCAGACTCAACTATATATCCCTTCTAAATCTTTATCCCCAACATCTAAAGCTTTCCAAACACCCCAATGCCAGGCTTCCTCTGTGCACACATGTCCTCTGTGCCCCTCTTCACCCTTCTTCTTCTGGGCAAGCCCCATAAATCTGACTCATTTTTCTAAGTCCACACTTTTTGTTGGAGCACAGTCCCCTATCCTCCAGGCTCTGGTCCCTATCAGCACCTACCACCATGAGCCTGTGTCCCTGTATACCTCTCCTAACAGGCCTGTGCATGCCCTGGAGGCAAGTGAAATGCCCTTCAACTTCACAAAATCCTCTCCTTGGCCTGGCACTCGGAAAAGAAGAGATATGGGATAGGGCTGACTTTGAGACCTCGTTCAAAGTGATTTCCTACAGCAAGCCTTCTCTGGTTAATACCCCTACGCTCCAATCATCGCTGTGGCTGCTTCAATCAGGTCGTCCGACACAATACCTGTTCTAGAGCCATTTCACGTGACTCCATCTGGTTTCCAACTAGAGTGGACTGGCAGCTCCCCAAGAGCAAGGAGCGGGTCTCTTGTTCCTCTCAAACCCCTGGGGCCCCAGAGGTTGCTTGGAGGTCACCCAGTCCAATCCCTGATCCAATGCTGGCCGCTGTTTGATCAGAGTCCCAGTGAGGAGCACACCAAGGTGGAGGTGAAGCCTCTGTTCCATGTCAGGCCAAACACTTAGAACCTTCATTCACACCACCCCCTAGAATTCTCACTGTCACCCTGTGAGAAAATTCTGTCGCTCTTAGGGCTCTGAGAGGTTAGGTTACTTGCACAAATAACCAGTGTGAGACAGACTGGGATTTACACCCTAGTCTGACAGTAACAACTCGATCTCATCACTGGAAGATTGGAATGACTCAGAGCTGACCTTCTGCTGGGTTTCAAAGACTGTAAATTGAACAGGAGACTGTCAATCTTTCCCCGGCAGAGCTCCTGGTGGATTTGAACCACCAGAGAGGCACAACCAATGCTCCTCATGAGGCCCATGCTTTGCCCACATGCCCACAGTGACCCTGGCACAGGAGGGCTCCGCCTAGGGACACCTGCTGACTGAACGGGGGGGCATGCTCACCCAGTCGGGGCACCTTTGGGCCCAGGCTGGGCCTCCTGGTGTGTCAGTAGTGAAGGGGGAGAGGGACTGGTCCTTTCTGCCTTCCGGTCAGCACTATCATCCTCCTGTAGGAAGAACTACAGCCAAGATGAAATGTGAGCAGTCAGGCCAGGCCAGGGACCCTGCAAACAGCCAGAGGCAGGCCGCTACTTACCTGGACCGAAGAGGGGGAGGAGAGAGGGGATGTCTGGGTAAGTGCCCGGGCCCCCTCAGCCTCACTGGCCTCATCCTCATCTTCCTCTCCCTCTTCAATAGTGGGGGTTTCCCCAGTAGGGGAGGCTCCAGGCCGTCTTCTCGGTTTCCTTCCTGGGCCCTGTGGGGTTTTGCGGCGGCGGGCATCCGGGGGCAGGTGTGTAGATAGTGGGTGGTGGATGTGGTGGGAAGACTGGCGGTGGTCTGCAGGGACAATGAGGACTTGGCTGTGGGCAGGTAAAACTTCCATCCCCACCAGACTGGCCCCATAGCCCCAGCCCCTCCCACCAGAACCCCTTCCTTGCTAGACCGTCAGCCAGTGAAGCCCCTCTCACACTCAAAGTCCTCCTCCCCATAGCTGCGTCCTGGCTCCTCTCCTCCTCGAGACCCGGCCTCCTGGAGGATTTCCTCAAAGCGCTCTACGCCCAGGGTGCGGTGGAGCTCGCCCTCCTCCTGCTCCGGGAACCCAGGTGTCCCAGGGCTCAAGCTCTCTGGCTCTGGCTGTGAGGAAGAAGGAGTGCTCAGAAACACACTGGGACTCTCCACAAGTCACACCCCCAAGTACCCTCCAGCTTCTGCTGCTGACCCACTCCCCCAGGAGGCTCTAAGCCAGTGTGGAGGACCTGCTGTGGAACTCTCAGTCACAGAAGTCCATCGGGTCCCAGCACCCCCTCGGCAGCCTGAACGGAGGGTTAGTGAACTAAACAGCCAGAACGCTGGATAAGGGGGAAACTCCCTCTGGCTGGGAAGACAGCTGCTGAATCCAAAAAAGTAACTTCTACAGAGAAGCAAGGCGGCCAAGCTGACGACTCCCTGGGACAGAGGAGACATCCGCACTTCACCTTGGTAGTGCTCACCCATCACCGCAGACTGCACCCCGTCTGAGCGTTGGCCCCTCAAGCCCGCTCCCTCCGCTGCCTGCCCCACCCCTCCCCCGCCCACTCCCCCACCTGAGTCATCCTGCGGGAGCAGAGCAGCGGCTGGGCAGCGACTGCGGTGGTGATGGTGGCAGCGGCGGCGGCGGCAGCACTAGGGAAAGCTCAGCCTAGCTAACAGCCTGCGGCCTAGCCCCTGCGGCTTTGGTCCAGCCCCCCACCCACCCCCTACTGGTCTCGGCTCCTGGCACCACCAAATATTTGCACAAGAGCTTCGAGACCTGAAGGGCATCAGGATCTCCAAGGGCGGGGGTATGGAGCCCCCTCCGTGGCGGTGCCAGCTGCTCGAGCCAGGCAGAGCAAGGGGAGGAGGGCCAGGAAAGAAGGGCGGGTCCTGGGGAGACAGAGGTGAGGCCGGGAGCAGCTCGGGGTGGCAGGGACACTAGGTACAAGAGGGGCTCCGAGGGACTGCTTCTGCCTTTCTAATTGGGGAGGGCTCCTGCCCAGCCCATCTCCGCAGTTCTATCTGGCCCCTCCAAGCATTCAGCCACCCTAGCTCCCCATAAAGCAACCCTTGGGGAAAATGAGTGTAGCAAGGGGGCAGGAGTGAGGGCTGGAGCTAGCCCTGGGGCAGGGAGGGAGGGTCCTGAACCCCTCGAACCTGAGGCCGCAAGAGGAAGTCCATGGCCGGCAGGGGTGAATCTGGGAAGGAGGGGGAGGGGACCCGTCCGTGCCCCTTCCCAATCACGTGCCCGGCCAGGCCAAAGTGACCAATAACTGCCTGACTATGGCATCCGGGGTTAATTATTAGACTTCCAGGGAAAGTCGGGAGGGGGCCACGTGGGGTGGCGACCACGTGGGCCCCAGAGGGGCGGGGCCCAGGTGACACTAGAGAAGGGGGCGGGGAGCTGGTAGCTGAGTGCTCAGGTCTGGACCTGAGACAACTGCCTTCAAGACCCTAGTGGGGAAATCCATCCAGGTCAGGAACCTAGGTTTTCAAAGTTTCTCTCCCGCTCAGGCTAGAAGCAGGTCTACAGGATTAAACAGCCTCATTCTTTCCCCTAACACTGATAGCCCAGATCCTACCACTATGCATGTTGATGGAAGGGTAGGATGTGATGGCAGAACCCGTCCTGCCCACTACCATTGCCCAGCTCACCTCAGTCCTACCAACCTCCATGTGGGAGCATGCACGTGCAAGTGCACACACACATACACATGCCAATGCACCACACCAGCCTCGGGCCCTCACCTGGGCCCAGTCCCTGAGGATCTGAGGCAGGAGGGGAGGACAGCAAAGGTCCACACAGGTCCTGGAGGGCAGGTGATACTCACGGAGCAGAAAGTGTCTGCGGGGCACCGAGGGGCGCTGCTCATGGCCAAAACTTAGCCCTTTTCACTACAGATGCGGCTTTCAGAGCAACAAGGCGGCGGCATAACCTGGGCAGGAGAGAACTAGTCACTCCTGGTGACTACTGGACCAGGCCTGAGGTCACCTAGCCTGAGGGCTAGTGACCACAGGGATGTTATCATTGCATCAGGATCTTCGAGATTATGAAGGGCCTAGGGATAGCATTAAGTGCCAAAAGCAGAGAGAGAGAGGAGAGGGAGAGGGCAGAAGGCAAAGTGGCCCTCTGGGGGGATAAGGGTGGGAAAGGATGCAAAAAACGTGAGTGGTAAGGAGTTAAGGCCCAGCACTGGACAAAGAGCAACAGGGGCAGGGAGGGATGAAGATAGAGGAAGAAATTGAGGAAAGAGCAGGGACAGAAACAGGAACCATACTGGGGTTTGGCACAGGGAGAGTGGTGAGAAATGGGACACACACAAGGTGCAGCAGCAAGGAGGGGTGTTGAGGGGGCCGCAAAGATAAAAGGAGCCAGCAAAGGAAAGAAGGAACTCTAGAGCAGCTGCCAGGAGCACAGAGCTCAGATGGCAAGAACCACTGGGTGCCCCCTCCCAGGCTCTATGCAAGGGAGGGCCCACGGGGGAGGAGCAGAAGCTACTCAGCTCACTCAGTGGGAGTGAGGAAGGGACAGACAGGAGGCTGGCCAGAACTTTATACTGGGGGAAGGGCACGTGATGGGTCTGAGGGAGTGGACACACAGCCCTGGGGAAAGAGGTATGAGATGGCCGTCAGGATCTGTCCCCTCCTCTTGCCTGGGGAAGGAAAATCTGAGTGGCAGGACTGACACCCTCCTGACTATGACTTGTAGAATTGTCTGAAGGGGGGGGGTTGCAGAACAGAGACTGGAGTTGGGGAACCAGTGCAAATCAGGATACCCATTCAGGGCAGGGGAAGTTCTGAGTGCTCCTGACCGCTCTCAGAAGGTAGAAACCCAGTATGTTGTTGGGGGTTGGCAGAGCTCCAACTCGGGGTTACTTGTGTGGATGGCAAGGAGAGGGTGACGCAGGCCAGTGCAGGGGCAAACAATATTGGTCTGGGGTTTTGGGTGGGTCAGTCCTGGGTGGGAGCCCTGGGCGACACATTCCTGGCAAGTTTCCAGCTCAGCTGACTACTCTCCCCACTTCCCCCTTGGTGGGCCTTTAGCCAGGACATGTCCACGGTTGGAGAGAGGTGCACTGGGCTCAGGGGGACATCTGTCTGGGAAGAGTTTCTGTCCCAAGAATCTGCAGGTGCCCTGCCCCCACTGCAGGCTATGACCTCAATGTGCTCCTCCACCATCTTTTCCTCCTTTTACTCCCCCTACACCCCCTCCACCCCAGCCTCTGGAGAACACAAAGCAGCTTCTGTCCAGAGAATCGGTGCCGATAATCCGGGGTGGGGGCACATTCCCGGGACCAGCCCCGACCGGCCCGGAGGATTAGCATCTCTCCCCCTGTCCAAGGGATTAGCACCCCAGACCCCCACTTGGGCATTAATACCCCCACACACACCTACCCCCAGTGAACTCGCACATTCCACAGCTCTTTGCTGTGGGGCTGGTGGAAGAAAAATGATAAAGTAGACCCTGGATTTCAGACAACACCGCCCCCCAACACACACACACAGTGAACAGATACTCCGCCCAAACCGCCCCCCACTCCACCCCCGGAGTCAGGTTCAACTCCCACTTTTCCCATTCCCACCCAACTGCACCCTCAGCCCGACCCCTTGTCCTAACCTGACCTAACCTGCCACCCCACCCCACCACCACGGCTCCGCCTCCCGACTGGAAAGTTGGGGGCTGAGGCCTCAGGCAACCCCATAGCGGGGCGCCCAGGACGGACCCGAAGGATAATGTAAGAGGTCGCAAGGAAAGGGTGTCGCCTGGAGCCCGCCAGCGTCTGGAAAGTCAGAGGAGCCTCCCTGAGACTAGCCCCTCCTGGTTGGCAGGGGGCGCGGCACCCGCGTTGTAGCCAACTCTAAACTAACCCCAGGATCCCCACTTCCTACCCACACTCCGCACGCTTCCCGGTCCTTACCCCTAAAACTTGACTCTCCGCACCCGTGTCTTCGCCTTTTCCTTGCCTTCCACTCCCTCCACGCCAGGAGTCCGGGTTCCCCCTCTCCTTCCCCCCTCCCTTCCTCCGTCCGCGGCCCCGGCCCTCCCCCGCCACTTCCTCCCTGCTTACCCGCTAGCTCTGAATTTAGCTCTCTTGGGGTCTTGGGGACTTTTCGGCTTTTTCAGCGCCCTTGCGCGCTCCCGACAATGACCCCCGTGCCCACCCTAGAGCGCGCCCCCGTCCTTCTCAACTTCTTGCAACTCAACTTTCCCCCGCGCCGCGGGCAAGCCAGCCCCTTGCGTGCGCGCTCCCCAGGCACGAGCGCGGCCCCGCCGTGTGGGGGCGGGGAGAAGCCTGCGCGGAGGCGCGCTCCCAGGCACGGCCGGGCACCGCAAGCTGCGCGGGCAGGAGCGCCACTCCGCTCCGCCAGCCGCCTGGCCCACAATCTACGGCTCCAGGCTTGGCTCCCGGCGGCCTGGCTCCAGGCTCGTGAGGCTGCCGTCTCCCCACCCGATTATCGGAAAAGAGCCTGGCTCTCACTGGAGATCATTCTCACTGGAGATCGCAGGGGAAAGGAGCAAGCTTGATTCTCCCAGAGAATCACAGGGAAATGGAGACCACTAGATGGCCAGGAAGTTCGGAGCGGAAGAACTGAATGATAACTTTATCAGAATCTAGACTCTCTTACCACCCCTACACACACAAACACCCAGTGGCCTTCAAGAGTCCTGTCCATGCCAGGGGCAAGGACAGTTGAGAGAGGGGGTGGCGGCTGTAAATCGCATGCCCGTTAGCCGGCGCGAAGCCCAGAGAATACCTACTACGACCCGACTCTCCTCATTCGTGAAGAGCCTCGGAACGATTCCCCGAGGACGTCAGTCTAATCTACCTCTACTACTTGAACCCTCTTCATAGTCATCACTGCCATTCTGTGCAACTTACTTTCCCAGATGAATTGTAAATCTTTGCAGCTTAAGATTTTGGTTTTCTTTAATTAGCCACTGGGAGGAGCACAATGTGTATACCATACCGGAAACGGTAAACCATACTTGAGTTAATGAATGTTTAAAGCCGCCAGCCCCGGGAGAAGGACAACATGTTTGGAAAAGCGAAGGGTCAGCGAAAAAGAGAAAGACCCTCAAAGAGACACAGTTGATTGTACTCTTGGGCGTAAGCACAGCAGAGGCTGCGAGGATGGTGTAGAATCGGACTGGGTTTAGTTCTGTTGTAGAGTCTGAGACGCTATGAGTCGGCACCTAACAACAACAACGTGCTCCGGCGCTGAGGGACGCTGTTTGGGGCCAGTTTACACTCCTCAAGAATGCGATGCTGAGACAATTAGAGAGCAGCATATGAAAATCTGTAATCAACTACATAAAGGGTGAGGGGGCAGGCTGCTGCAAGTGCAGCACCTGTTTGCCCGTCGTCTGCCGGTTGCGTGGTGACTATCCACTCCTGGTTAGCTGCGCCTGGTCTAATAACAGGGATCCTGGCTTCCCCCGACGACAGGATGCAGAGGCTAGCGTCGGGTGGGCTCCGATAAACAACACCCAGAGAAGAGAGGTCTCCAGCTACTGTTAAATCTGTTCTTCCTGCTGCTCAATTCTGAAGTTGGACACGCCCGGCCTCTTGGCCAGCCCCAGTGGTCAACTGGTCCCTGTAAAGTCATCAACAGCAAGACATCACTCTGAGTCACTCCCCAGATAAATCCAGGGACCCGGGAAATGTGGACACAAGGCTGAGACCTTCAGGCGATCGTAGGGAACCAAGTACAATTGTCTCTTCAGCTCGGTCAGGGCCAAGCCATCTTGGAGCTAGGCCAAGTTCCAAAGCTGAAAAAGAGGCAACCCACTCCCAACCTTACTCCAGGATCAGCTTGGAACGAGCAGTTCCCGAGCAGTATTTTCCAAAAGGCAGTAATACGAGCAGAGCACCCTGGGACCGAAGTGATGCGGCGGGGACGCCCGGGAAGCGGACACGCGATGATTCTTGGGACTTGAAGTCCTGAGCTTGTTCAAGATCTGATGGAGTCCCGGGAGTGGAGAGCTGCAGAGAGCCTGAGCACCGCCTGATGGGGATTGTAGTTTTCTTAGTTCTTCAGACCTAAGCATTATATGGAGTCATGACGTCCTAAGACTACAAGACCCAGAAGCCCATGCGTGGACAGGAGGGCGAGGCAGGGCCAGAGACTGATGTACCGCCTCCTCTGCAACGCCAGGGCCGAGGCTTAGAGGCGAGGGCCCGCAGGGGTCCCCGCGGCCGCCGTGATGCAGAAATACGAGAAACTGGAGAAGATTGGGGAAGGTAATGAGACCATGAGATGTACCTGCAAGATAATCTTCTGCAGCCCTCTCTGAAATTTTTGCAGCCCTAGCGTCTCTACCGTCAGCAATACCTACCGACTCAACCTGAACCTCAGCATTCTTTGCATCCCTGGCCCCTAACCTCACCATTCTGTGCAGACCCCAGTCCTCCCGGCATTAACGTTTCTTGCAGACTCTCATTCCCAACCAGAGCATATTCCTCAGACCCTTCCTTCCAATCTAGCCTTAGCACCACTTGCAAACTCTCACCTCAAACCCCAACCTCAGTTTTCACTGCACACCTTCGTGCCCCAACCTCAGCACTCCTGAAGACCCTCAGTCCTCTTCCAGACCCTCCTCATTACTTCATCATCATCATCATCATCATCATTATCTCCTAAAGCATTGCCTTCATTACAAACATCCTTACTCTTGATAGACTCTCCCTCCAGCACAAACCCTTGAGCCCAGGCGGGCATTTTCTCTCCTTCCCCATTTGCCACTTCTTCACTCACAAACTTCTTCCGTACCCAGCCTTCATCTGGACCCCTGCACCCTATCCCTTATGCTTCAGGGATTTAATAGCACCCTCACAGATGCTACCTCTCCTCCCAGAAGGATTTTTCTCAAATGCCCCATCACTTACTGCACACCTGATATCCTTCTAGGTACCTATGGAACAGTGTTCAAGGCCAAAAACCGGGAGACTCATGAGATCGTGGCTCTGAAGCGGGTGAGACTGGATGATGATGATGAGGTAAGGCTGGAGCTCCAGGGCCAGGGAGGAGGGTGAGGGCCCCTACAGGGATCTGACAGCCTGCCCTTGCTTCCTCCCATGTGTAGGGAGTGCCGAGTTCAGCCCTTCGGGAAATCTGCTTACTCAAAGAGTTGAAGCACAAGAACATTGTCAGGTGTGTGAACAGGCAGGACTGGAGCTCTGCTGGTGGGGTGCATTTTGCGTTCAGCTCCTAACCAAAAAAAAAAATTATTGGGTTGAATTCACCCATGACTCCATGCCCTTCCATATAGCCTCAGAAACCCAAAGAGGGGTTGCTGTGAGTTGAAATTGACTTGACAGCAATGGGTGATGGGTGTGGTTCTTGAAGGAGGGTGGGATTTCAGAGCTGGGCTGCATATTAAGTCTAACCTAAGGCATCTACCTGCTAAGTCCTCCCTCTCCTCAGGCTCCATGATGTCCTGCATAGTGACAAGAAGCTGACTTTGGTTTTTGAGTTCTGTGACCAGGTGAAGTTGGGGTTTAGGGGACTAGTAGCTTTGAGGGGGTTGTATAGACTGAAGCTGAAATTCTGTCTCACTCCCCCACCCCATCCTTTTCTCATTAGGATCTGAAGAAGTATTTTGACAGCTGTAATGGTGACCTGGACCCTGAAATTGTGAAGGTGAGGAGTGTGGGGGTCTTAGCCACTCACTGAGGCTGGGGTGAGAGTCAATATTCAGTGTAAGTGACCTGTGAGCATTAATTCGGGACCCTAAATAGGGGGTCATCTAGGGTGTAAGAGATGTGAATCCTTTATGCCTTCCCCAGCCTCTAGACATAGCCAGAATTTTCACATGGTTTCATTGGACCTACACAGGAGCACTGTCATGTCAGTGATATTCTTTACAGTTGAGAGAAAACTGAGATTAAGAGAGATACATTCAGTTAACAAGTATTTATTGGACACTTTGCTGTGTGCCAAACACTGTTCTAGGTCCAAGACCAGATGCTTTCTCCCCTCGTTCTAGGGGAACCAAGTGCTGAATCACAGATTACAAGGTTATCTGATGATGTTCAGGGAAGGCTAGGCCAGGAAGAGGTCCCTGTGGACAGGCCCACTCTTCTAAGTAACATTAAGAGGAGGACTGGGGCCAGCTTGCTTTAATTTATTTTTATGTTCCTCATATCCAGTGTGGTACAAAGTAGGTCCACATTGATGAATTGATGATACTGTGAATGGATGAGTGAGTGTGGGAATTAGATAGACTAGGAAATGTAGCATAGACTAGAGGCCTAGCAGAGGGTTTAGGGAAGGGGCATGTAGTCCATTGTTGGGCAAAGCTTACTACCAGGATGTGACTCTCCTCCCCAGTCATTCCTCTTCCAGCTGCTAAAAGGCCTGGGATTCTGTCACAGCCGCAATGTGCTGCACAGGGATCTGAAGCCCCAGAACCTGCTCATAAATAGGGTACTTCTCAGGGGAGAAATCGGGAGGCTGAATGAAGTAAGGGTGGCAGAAGGCAGGGAAGCTGGGTTGAAGAGAGGGAGGCTGCCCTATGCCTGTCCTAAAGCCCTCCATCATCTCCTCTTCTCATTTGTCCTCAGAATGGGGAGCTAAAATTGGCTGATTTTGGATTAGCCCGGGCCTTTGGGATCCCTGTTCGTTGTTACTCAGCTGAGGTGAGTTGCACTAATGGGAGTCAGGGTGAGGGACCCAAAACATCTTTTTCTCTCCTCTCTGAGCTACCTCTTCCTCATGCTTCCTTCCAAGCCCTCTAAGTGGGGGGTCCCTTTGGGTGGGATCTTCTCTAGGTGGTCACGCTGTGGTATCGCCCACCGGATGTCCTCTTTGGGGCCAAGCTGTACTCCACGTCCATCGACATGTGGTCAGCCGGCTGCATCTTTGCAGGTGACATGCTGGGGGTGTGCAGAGGCATTTCCTTCCAATTAGGTTGACATTTAAGGTGTGGAGGGTGCCCTCTGAGGAAGGGCATCAGACACAGGGATGAGGAGTAAAGTGCAGAGGGGGTCAGTGGATTGAAGGCGTCTTCGTGTGCACTCCTCCTCACCCCCTGTGCCCTTCCCCAGAGCTGGCCAATGCAGGGCGGCCCCTCTTCCCTGGCAATGACGTAGACGACCAGCTGAAGAGGATCTTCCGATATCCTGCCAGTGTCATTCTCTTTGAGGTTCTGGAAGTTGTTGCAGCCTCTGAGCTCAGTGTACAGGGACTGAGGGGCAAGGCCTGCATGTTGGGAACCTGGCTTCTCCCATATATGAGGGTGGGGAGCAGCTGGTGGGACCTCCAGATTGTCCCCTGCAGGCATATCCAGGCAATGGGAGACCAGGAGGTACCCTGCAAACGGAAGCCAAAAGGGTGTGCTTCCAGATGAAACATGTATCCTGAGGGTGAGGGTCCAAAGGGGTATCGAGTTTTTGTGGGAGTAATAAAAAGGGAACTCTAGTTGTCTAGTGGGTAAGGATCTGTGCTGCCAACCTACAGGTAAGTGATTTAAATCTACACTAGCTGCTCCGCAGGAAAAATCTCCTGAGCAATTTACAGCCTCTAAAAACATGCTCACGGGTCAGCTGGGAGGCGGTTCTGATGCAAGGTCACTTTACAAGAAGGGAAGGTGACTAGCTCACGAGACTAAAGCCTTCAGGATTTAGGTTAAATTAATGTTTATAAAGTGCCTGGCATGTTGTAAACACAGTGCTGAGGAGTGCTGATTTGAGGGATCTGCACTCCCGGAGCCGGCTACTGTTCTAGGGCTCTGAGGAGGGAAGAGCTGCTCTCCTTGCCTCTGAAGAGGTAGGCACACCCTTTCCAGCTGAGTGATCCTTGACCACGTGGACACGCTGCTGGGGACGCCCACGGAGGAGCAGTGGCCCGCCATGACCAAGCTGCCGGATTATAAGGTGTGGGGGAGTGGAGGGAGAGGTGCAGCCTCCAATACCCTTCAGGCCTCAGGCCCCTCGGCCTGACTCCCTGTCCCTCCACAGCCCTACCCTATGTACCCAGCCACCACGTCCCTGGTGAACGTCGTGCCAAAGCTCAACGCCACAGGGAGGGACCTGCTGCAGGTGAGGGCTGGGTCAAGTAGGATCAGTCCGAGTACTTATCAGAGGACTGTGGTAGGACAGGCTGGAGGAGCTGACCCCTGCCATCCTCCCCTGTCCACAGAACCTCCTCAAGTGCAACCCTGTGCAGCGCATCTCAGCAGAAGAAGCCCTGCAGCATCCCTACTTCTCTGACTTCTGTCCACCTTAAGCTCCAGGTCCCTGGTGCCAGGCTGGGGCCTGGCCTCCATGAGCCCCTCCAGGAAGGGGAGTGAGGGGAGGGTTCACAGTGCTCTGGGGCTCCAGCTGTGCTGGGCCCAGCAGGGGTGGAAACACCCTGCCTGGTTCTTCACTTCCTCCATGAACTTTATTTAAATTTCATAAAGTGGCTCCTTTCCCACAGTCTGGCTGATGTGGTGCTTGAGTAGCTTTGATAGAGAGGAGGGACTTTGTTTGAGGTAGTGTCCTTGAAACTCTGCTTCAGGTTCACACACACCCTAGCCATCCATTCCTTACTTTTCTTAAGTTGTCTGAAATGGGGCTGGAGATGCCCTCTGGTCAGCATGGCTGGGGCAGGTGAACCCCACATGCTTGTCTCTTCTCATCCATGCGCCCTGTTCCCTTGCCTAGCGGGATCAGAGCCTTCCCGTGGAGCTCTGCAGCCAGTGCCTGGGAGTGAGCCAGGCTTCCACTAAAATGGAGAAAAAGATGCTGGGCTTTTTGCTAGTGGTCTCTGTAGCCCACGTGTGTCCTCATGTTGCCCCAGGCTGTGTCTTCCCCAGACCAGGCCCCCAGACTCTGGTCAGATCAGGGCCACTCCACCTTGGCTTCCTTATTTGCCCCTTTCCCAACACCTGGGATACAGAGAAAGGAAGTGAATCACTGGTGGGTCCTTCTGGCAGAAGGAAGGAAGGGCCCTGGGATGTACACCTGCCCCATGAGCAGCCCCACCTGTCTCAGACTGGGATTTTCCTCCCAATGTGAGACTGGGGAAGCAAGACCTCTGCCCTGCCTGTGGAGACAGATTCTTGGTCGTGTATGTGAGAAAGAGTTACAGTCTTCTGAAGCGGAACAATGGCCTGCGTTCTTGGAAATGGAACATCTCTTTTTCCTGCCTCCTGCCTGTTTCTTGTTTTTTTCTGAGCCTTTCCCCAAATGTGGCCTTGTCACCAAATACAATGGAACTGCCTGATCCCTGCGCCCTTCTTACCTCTGCATTGAGGATCCCTATTCTCCCTTCTGAGATGTTAGTTGGGCAGACACAGCCACACTGGTGGGCGGGTGACTGGTACCCTCCTACTGTGCATCTTCCTCAGAGAAATGTGTGATGTTTAACTCCAGCCAGCCCCACATTCTAGACACTGACAGGCTGGAGCTGGCTGGCCAAGTGGGGCTGGGTGATTTTGGCCTGATGAGTCTGCCAGGTCAAAGGAGCACTGAGATGGGGAAATCAGCACTTTATTTGGGTTAATGGCAGCAAAAGCATATGTGCGAACTGGATGTGCCAGTGCCCTTAGGACGGAGATGTCAGTCTAGAGCCGTGTGACCAGGTAGCAGGTGCGGTGGGAGGCAGAGATGGTCTTGGTGACAGCACAGGAAGATGTGGGAGGCCTGGTGACAGTGGGGCAAGAGGTTTTCATGCCCATTCCCTTGCTCTCCTGGGCTGGATCTCCCCTTCTTCCCTTATCCCCCAGAGGGTCATTTCTTATTACCTGGGACCCAGGTTGAAATGGGACAGCTGGGTTTGAGGGCCACCTAGCTGTTCCTGGAGCTGTGGGAGGAGGAGAGGGTCAGAAGCAGGAGGGGCTTCTCCCCCCTGCCACCAACTGAGTTCACTGCACACTCTTCCCTGCTTCAGAAGACGTCTTAGCTGGTGAGATGAGTTCTTGGTTATGAGGAAAAGGGGCAAGGGCTGTTGCTGACTGTGGGACTGTACACTACATGGAGGGGAAGGGGGGGCTACTACCAGATTGGTGCTGGAGTGCCTCTGGGAGCGCTTGCGGTTCCAGAAATACCCCAGGACTTGATCTCGAAAAACCTGGGAGCAACCAGGAGGGGAAATACTCAAGTCTCCCATCCCCTCGCCCAGCTTCATTTAGGGGGCTTCCTACCCCACCCCCACCCCCGCAGCCCTACCTCACAGAGATAGTCCAGGATCTCAAGGATGGTGAGTAGGCTAGCCCCGATGAACAGCCCCATCTGGCCCCCAATATCACCTGTGGAGACAGGGTGGCGGTCTTAGGACCTTGGCTGCCCTCCTCGCCCCATACCAGCGTGCAGCCATCCTGAGCACACACCAAGTAGCTCTGACACCTCATAGGCCTTCTTCTGCTCCACTGTCTCGTAATTGAGGGCTTCAAAGTAAATGTCCAGCACCAGGATGTTCTCCCTAGAGGGAAAGCAAGCCACAATATCTCGCTGCCCCCGGTGTACGTGCAGGGCAGAAGCGTGCAGGCCTCCTTTCAAGGACCCCCGGGATGGCAGTGTTATCACCCCAGCTTTCAAAGAAGTCAAGGTTTGGCGTCTTGCCCCCAATCCGTTGGGGGCGTGGATATGGGGTGAGCATCACTCTGCGGCCCCGGCCTGTCCGCAGCGCCCCTTGCTCACGCGATGTACGCCTCGCTGAGGTTGTACTTTCGGGCCAGGTAGCGCGCGGAGGCGCGGCTCGGGATCCGCACCATGGAGAGCTCCTTGGCATAGCGCGTGATGGCGCACGGGCTGGGGCAATTGCACGCATCCTTCCGCAGCATGGCATCTGGCAGGGAAATTGGACGGGTGAGGGCTGCGGCATGGGCCAGGAGTGTGGGTCAGGGAGGCGACGGAGGGGCGCCCTTACCCAGCGTCGGGTCAGCACAATCCTTGTACTGCTGGGGGCTGCAAACTGGGGCGCCGCCTGTGGACCAGGAGGAGATGCGCTTCAGGAGTTGCGCCGGCCGGCGGCCCCACCCCCCAAGGGCATGTACTCTGCTCCCGCGCCTCACCTGGCATGTGCATCATTCGGCAGCCACACTTCCGCGTCACGTAGCGGGTCTCGCAGGCCAGGCGACAACCCATTAGGCTGTAGGGAGGGCTAGGGCTTGGGTTAGGGTTGGTGCCACCTAGGGAACCAGGGGACTCTGGCTCTATGTCAGGGTCCAGAGATACAGAACTACAGTCACCCCAGGGTGGTGGCAGAAAGGTCAACTGTTAAGTGACAGGGTTAAGGAAGGGTCTGGAAGAAGCACAGGCGTCTGGGGAGAAGCATGAAAGGTTTGTCACATTGGGGTTATCATGAGTTGGAATCAATAACAAAAATGAGCACTTAAAGCTTTGGTAATTTCCCTCTATGTTGCCCAGAGGCCACTGTGAGAGGAAGCTGATACAGTCCACTGACGACTAAAAAAGCAATAGAGAATAGAAGGCGGTGGGGGGGAGGGGGGGACGGGACGGGAGGGGGAGGGAAAATGTGCAGCAATGAATGAATGACAGGAAATCCAAGTTTTCTTTAAACTTTCATTAAAATATCAAATTAAAAAAAAAATTGAATGGAGATGCCCAGCTGCCACCAACTTGAATCTTCTGGCCCAGCCAACTCTGGGGTGAAAAGAGCCCAGGTGAAAACAAGCCATGAAATCAGGGGAAATAATGGCTATTGTTTCAAATCACTAAGCTTCTGGACAGTTTGTTAGAAATAAAAATGTACCTGATTTTAATCATTGTCATAATGGCAAATGTTTTTATAAAGATGCATTTAGTAAATCTTTTTTTTTTTTTAAAAAAAAAAAAAAGGTAATGAGAGGTTTCCTGCCAGCTGGAGGCCCCTGGAGGTGAGGCCTGAAGGGAGAGGGTTGGGATGGGTCTTTGGGAACAGCTGGAAGCAGGTGAGGATACTTGCTGCTGTTGGCAGGACACAAAGGTCTGGTAGCCCGGGGCTGCCCCAAAGCCCAGCTGGTCAATGGTGGGCGGCTCTTCCTGGCTGTGGATCTGAACTCGGACTCCCACCTCATATAGGGTCTCCTCTACAAGGATGGCACCCATAAACCCCAACATCCCAACCAGGTGAGACCTCCCGCTGCAGTCCCTCTCCCAGATTTGCGTAGACCACTCCCACCCTCTTCTCACAGGGAAGGAACATGCTTTAGGCATCTCCTCCATTTGGACATCTCCTCCCCAGAACCCCTTTCTTCTCTGTCACCCCCATCCCCTCAGGCAGGTCCTTACCAGTGTCCCTCCACACAGGCAGATACTCATCCTGCTGCACATCCAGCATGATTTCCAGCCCGTTGCCCATCCCGCCCTTGGGAGTGGTGAGCAGCTCCACCCCGCCAGCACCAGAATTAAAGGTGTAGCACTGACCCATTCGCGTGAAGATCTACTGGTGGGCACACAGGGGGCCAGGTTGTACCAGGTGGTGAGACAGCCACACAGATCCATGCACCGGGTGCCCTTCCCATCCCTGTTCTCTCTTCAGTCTCTTCAATACTGAAACTCACATCTCAATCCTCCTAGCCCCACCCCTCATAAAAGTCAAACATAGTTAGATCCTCATGGACTTCTATTCCTCCAGCCTTTCCTGCACCCCAGGCTGACACACACAGGCCAGGGCACAGCCTGTAGGCCAAGGGGGTTTTCAGCCAGGGGTTGGACTAAAGGGAAGTGGTCCCAGGTCTTTCCCAAGCAGTTCCTCTATCAAGCTCTCCTCCAGGAACATGGTCTTGGTGCCCAGTGGATCAGTGCCTGGCACTGAGATGCAGTTTGTTGTAATCTTCAGTCCCCTGGGTAATAGGTAAGGTCCCAGGGAGAACAGAAAGGGCAGGTGGGGTGTGGGAGAACTAGGCCAGAAGGGAAGGGATCCCTGGGCCAATTGTGCTTTTAAGGCCCCTGACATTATGGGACACCCGTACAGAACCCCTGGCTCACCGCAGTGAAGTTCTCTGGCCCACAGGGCTGACCACGGTAATGGCAGTCCAGCAGCATGTCATCCATGGAGTGCCCAGCCCTGGTGTAGAGCTGTCCCATGTCGAAAGTGGGGCTGGGCATGAAACCGGGAGGTGCGGGGGGCCTGCCCAGGGCACGCAGGAAGGCAGCATGCTCAGCAGGGTCCAGGCCCAGCAGCGCTGGCCCGGCCCAGTGCAGGTCGTTGGGCGTGAGGCGTGAGCGCCGCAGCCGGTTGATATTGCACAGCGTGACTGCAGGGAAGGTGAGCTGGTGGCTCTCCCGCTCCTCCAGAGCCGTCTCGTGGTGGAACTCCTCATAGTACTGCACCCTCTCAGCCACCTGGTAGAGGAAGGCAGCCAGCGACAGCAGCACGGCCACGGCCCACAGCGCCCGGCGCAGGGTCAGGTGCCCTGGGCCAAAGATGTGACCCACGCCATGCATGGTGCAGCTACTGGCGAACACTCGGATATCGGAGGCTGCCCGAGGGGTCACCTCTGGCCCTGAGCTGGGTTTCATGGCTGTGGCCTGGGCTGTGAGACCCAAAGGCTTGGAAAGAATGAGGTAGGGTCAGTCCCAGGGTCACACAGGCTTAGGTGTTCAGGCAGGAGTCACTGCAGGTCAGGCAAAGCAAGGAGAGGGGCAGAGGAGAGCAGCTAAACCCAAGAGGTGGGAAGTACTGGCCTGATGAGAGAGGTGGATAAGACAACCTGGCTGGGCTTCCTGGGGAGCAGGCTGTGGCTTCTCTGGGCTCAGCGCAGGGTCGGGGTTCCGTAGCACAGCCAGCTGTGGGAAGTAGGGGCTGCTCTGCCAAGGCAATGCTGCTGAGCTGCCGCAGAGGATTGGGTTTCAGCAGTGAGGGGGGTTAGGGGGCCTGTGGAGCAGTCTGGAGAGGGAGATCCCTGGGGCCCAAGGCTGAGAGCCATTAGTGCGGGGAGGGGGGCAGAGGGAGGCCATGCTGTTGTGGAGATCAGAGGCGCCAGGAGCAAACCACAGCAATGGGAGGGCTGAGTAATGGATAGCCCAGGGGTTACCTGGGCTAGGGGGCACCTTCCGCTCTCTAGGTTTCCAGTGGCAGCCCCTGTGGGAGGCCTGAAGACCAGTCTCCGACCTGACCTCAACCCCTCTCTTCTCCCTTCTCATTCCTCTTCCCTTCCACCTCACCTAAGATCACGTGTTCTTTTGCAAAGGGCAGGGCTGGCACCTGACCAAGCTGCAGAGTGGTGGGAACTTGGCATGAGCTTTGAATCTCTTCTTTCTGCATCCCCCACGTCCCAGAATGCCTTGGGCAGTCAGGGCCTCAGCAAGCTCTCATGTCCTGACCATTCTCGAGTGACTCTCTTTTCTTGAAGGGTCAGACCCGACCTCCTCTGCTCAGGCCTTCTGTTGAAGGGGGTCTGACAAGCCCCTCTCAGCTAATGCTGGCATCCACTAACTGAAGCTGCTTTTGTCCAAAGAATAAGACATGGACTAGTGTGTGTTGTGTGCTACTTTTTGAGCTTATTGTTGCTAGGTGCCATTGAGTTGAGTATGATTCATAGTGACCCTATGGACAACAGGTTCCTGTTCTATCCTGCGCCAACATCAATCTGACACACTCCAGCCCATTGCTGCAGTCATTGTGTCAGTCCACCTGGTTGAGGGTCTCCTTCACTGTCCCTTCACCTTTCCAAGCATGGTGTTCTTCTCCAAGGAATAGATTCTCCTACCCTCATGCCCAAAGTATGTGAGACAAAGCGTTGTCATTCTTACATCCAAGGAGCACTTGGCTTCACCTTCTCTAAGACATATTTGTTTATTCTTTTGGCAGTCCATAGGATATTCAGTACTCTCCAGCACCTCCCCAACTCAAAGACATCAATTTTTCCTGTCATCCTTATTCATTGTCCAGTTCTCAGATGCATAGCATGTGCTTGAGAAGACCATAGTCTGAATCAGAAGCACCTTAGTCTTCAAACTAACATCATTGCTCCTCAATAATGTGGGGAGGTCTCTGACTGCAGACTTTCTCAGAGCATTATGTCTTCTGATCTCCTGACTGCGGGTACCAAGTGTATTGACTGGATCCAAGTAAGATGAAGTCATTGAAGGTTTCAATCTTTTCTCCATCTATTATGATGAAGTCATTGAAGGTTTCAATCTTTTCTCCATCTATTATGATGTCGCCTGTCATTCTAGTGGTGAGAATTTTTTTTTCTCTCTTGACATTGAGCTGTGGTGCATATTGAAGGCTGCACTGTTTGAGATTCTGCTGTATGTCAAGTCCTCCTCACTTTGAGCAAGCAAAGTTGTGTCATCTGCTTAATGTAAGTTATTCATGAGTCCTCTTCTAATTCTGATACCACATTCTTCTTCCTAGAGTACAGCTTCTCTCTGAAAATTTGCTCAGCATACAGGTTGAATAGATATGGAGAAAGGTTGCAACCGTGATGCACACCTTTCTTCATTTTAGACCATGTAGTGTTCCTTTGCTGTTTGCACAATAGCTTCTTGATCTAGGTATAGCACAATTAAGTTCTGGGATTTCCATTCTTCTTTATGTTCTTGAGCTTAGAGAGGAAAGGGAAAAAGAAAATACTCAGATTTGCTTATATTGAGTAAGGAAATGCTGGAAGGAAATACTGGAAAGGAGAACTAGGGGGATCTAGGAAGACTACGGAGGGGTGAGAACCCTATGTTTGTTTTTTATATATTTTATGAACCATGTGAACATGTTATATGTTCAAAAATATAAATAAATGAAATAAAAATATAGAAAGACCTCAGAGGTGACTTAGTGGTAAAGAATTGTGCTGCCAACACAAAGGTATGCAGTTCAAGTCCACCGACTTCTCTGTGGGGGAAAGATGGGCAATCTCCCATGTGATTTTACTGCCTCTGAAAAACTGTTGGAGGGTCAACTATGTGTCACTTTCAACTGGATGGTACACAACAACAACAGGTGAGCTGAGTCCCTCAAATGGGCCAAGAATGCCATCATGGGCCTCTGTGGGGCCTCCTCTGACCAATCTGGTCACATTACTGGCTAGCCCCTTCTGGGTCTCAGAGGTCCCTGCTGAATTCCTTACTTCTATGACTCTGGCATCTGGGGACACCCTCAGTTCCTGGTCAGTGGAAAGGACCCACTAGCCTAGGATTGTCTCACACTCCACCACCAGGATTCTATTGTAGCTTAGCTCATGCCCCAACTTTTCCTCTATAGCCTTAACAGTCTGGGCCTACTCCTCCTAACTGCCCCTATCTCTATACTTTTAATTTCTTTGCAAAAGAATGTCAATAGCCATTGCCAATAGTGGAGCTCTTGCAGGGCAGGGCAAGGTTCTAATGTGTTATTCATAGGGTTGTTAGGAATCTTAGTTGACTTGACAGCACCTAACAACAACAATAACATCCTGATTCAAAGAGTAGCACTTTGTGCATCTAATCATACTATTTAAGGTTTTACTCTCTTCACTTAATGATATATTGTAGGGACTTGACATCACTACCTGAAGCATTTCCTCTTTTTAAAATAATGGTTACATATCATTTGTGATAATTTCATATGTCAACTTGGTTTGAGTCCCAGTGGCCTGACCAAACACTTGACTAGCTATGCTATGGTGTAATCTAATGTAATACACAGATTTCATAATTTAATGTAATTGGCCAATCAGCTGAAAGAGGAGTTTTCCTTAGGATGTGGTTTAGTGCTCAACTATAAATAAATACTTTGAAGAGTTAACTCTCTACCAGCATCCACCAGTGGTGGATTTCTGCCCTGGTGGAGTTCCCACTCTAAGGCCAAGGCACATAATTTTTTATCTGGTGTGAGAATGTGTGCACAAACTCTATACTCAGACTCCCTACAGAAGCCAAAAGATGTGCACAAGATGCATTCTATACATTCTTCTCCAATACACACTGAACATTCTCCAGACCATGTATTAGGTCACAAAGAAAGTCTCAATACATTTAAAATATCAAAATACTACACAGCATCCTCTCTGATCACGGCACTATAAATCTGGCAATCAGCAACAGGAATTGTTGTCGTCATTATGTGCCATCGAGTCATTTGTGACTCATAGAGACCCTACGTACAAGAGCCCTAAATGCCGTTCTATCCTGTGCCAACCTTGCTGTCTCAAACACATTCATTCCCACCACTCCACTCACAGAATCGATCCATCTCATCAAGGGTCTTCCTCTCCTGCGCCGTCCCTCCGCTCTCCCAAACATGATGTCCCTCTCCAAGAACCAGTCCCTCCTTGCAACATGTCCAAAGTATGTCAGATGAAGCTTCAGAATCTTTGACTCCAGGAAACATTCTGGCTTAACCCTCTCCAGGACAAACCTGTTTGTTCTCCTAGCAGTCCATGGTATATTCAACACTCTTCTCCAGCACCACGACTCAAAGGCATCAATTCTCTATCATCCCTATTAACTGTCCAACTCTCCAATGCATAGCACGTAATTGCAAAGACTATAGCCTGGATCAGGAGCACCTTAGTCTCCAGCCTGACCTCATTGCACTTCAGTACTCTTGAGAGGTCCCAATGCAATTCACCTCCTGATTTCCTGGCTGCTGTTACCAAGAGTGTTGACTGTGGAGCCGAGCAAACTAAAACTGTTAACTATCTCAATCTCTTCACCATCCATACGGATGCTGCCAATTGGCCCAGTGGTGAGAATCTTTGTTTTCTTGATATTGAACTTTAATCCATATTGAAGACTGCAGTCCTTGACCTTCTTCAGCAAGTGCTTCAGGTCCTCCTCAGTTTCAGTGAGGAGGGTTGTGTCATCTGCATAACACAGGTTGTTGACAATTCTTCCACCAATCCTGATGCCACATTCCTCCTCGTACAGCCCAGTGTCTCAGATGATCTGTTCTTCATACAGATTGAAAAGGTATGGAGACAAAATATATCCCTGATGGACCCCTTTCTTGATTTTGAACCATCCAGTGTCTCCCTGCTCTGTTCTGATGACTGCCTCTTGGTCCAAATATAGGTTTCGCATTAGCATGATCAAATATTCTGAGATCCCCATTCTCAGAGTCAGCCACAGCTTGTTGTGATCCACACAGTCAAAAGCCTTTGCATAGTCAATGAAGCACAGATAGACATTCTTCTGGTATTCTCTGCTTTCTGCCAAGATCCATCTTACATTAACTATAATATCCCTAGTACCACGACTTCTTCTAAATCCAGCCTGCACATCTGGCAGTTCTCTGTTGACATATTGTTCCAAACATTTTTGGATAGTTTTCAGCAGAATCTTGCTTGCATGTGGTATCAATGATATTGTTCGATAATTTCCATACTCTGTTGGGTCACCTTTCTTTGGAATGGAACAAATATCAGTCTCTTCCAGTCAGTTGGCCAGCTGGCTGTCCTCCAGATTTCCTGGCACAACCTAGTGAGCACATCCAGGGCAGTGTCTGTTTGTTGAAATAAATCAATTGGTATGCAGTCAACTCAACAAGGCGAAAAATCAAGTACATGAAAACTAACATCCTGATTTAACACTGTTGGAAA